CATGTTCCGACCGCCTTTGGAATACGTGCATGCCAAAACGACGCCCAACATTTGGCATTTTATTCACTGACTGGGAAGTAAATACCTTGTAATTATGTAATACCGATCAAACGTGTCTACTTGAACTGTCGCATCTATGTAAAGGTTAGTGGAAACTTGTCATTGGAGCAACGATGACCATTGGTTGTCCACCAAGCGTCCCCACTGTCAGCACTTTCATCCAGATATGCTATTGTATTTAACCGCAGGTATCTTCGACTTTGCAGAGACTGTCTCACTCCTCGGAGCGTATCAGATAATATGGTCCTACAAACCGAAGGTACTGACAATATTAAGAGTTCTAGGGATATTTTCAGTCTAAATCTGAGTCCTTTTGGCTTACGTTTCCCAGCTGTCAAATGATAGGATCCCATTTAAGGCTAGTCTGCAGCCACTCCTAGTTTAAGAATCAGGAAGGAAGTGGTTGAATTTATTCACCACTTCACTGATTTTGGGAGCTGCACTAAGCCAAAATGCATTTGCTCCCGACAAATTGTTACATCACTCTCTAGTGAAACCAGTGTGGTTCCTCTCTCTAGATAACCATAAGAGAATCAGCCTCACGAAAAATAATGTCTAATATTCTAAGTTCTATTGAAGGGACATAAAACAAACACAACCCACAAAATGTTCATGTTGAGTACAATTGGAACGGTAGTCGTCACATTTGGTACACCTTGCACTAACCCAGTCATTTGCAAATGTCTTTGTTTCCTCTTCTGTTTCTCTCTTGATCTGCTCTTCATACATTCTTATCAGCAGCATCCACTGTAATACGCCTGTGTTATCTCTTGCGTTGCTCTTGGCAGAAACCTTACCCATTGCTGGTAATTCCCTATGATTCCTGCCACCCTCTTAACATATACTACTTATATCCATTGTTATCAGCAACACCCACAACACTATGATCATTAGACATCCGATTGCAGCTGGAGAACAGGAACACCAGACGGGCTTCAGACCTACTCATGGACTTATCCGCCAGATAGTGACACTCCACCGCTAGGTTCTGGAACACAGATACCCTCACCGATGCCCGATACTGGCTGTATTTCTCAACCTGTAGATGGCATTGGAATCCATCGATCGAGAGGTCTTATGGCAGTGTTTCTCACTGAGAGGACTGTCGAATAAGTGTATCACTTTGTTGAAGGCTGTTTGCTCCAACACCCATGAATGTCTCAGAGCTTATAGTGAGTTGCACAAGTGAACTGTGTACATCGAGTGGTATCCGTCAAGGATGCCCACTCTCTCCACTCATGTTCGATTTCATCATAGACGTTCTTATTGAGGTCTCCCTCTCATCGTCTAACGTCACAGGGATTGACCCTTTCACAGGAGAATCCTTGGCACATCTAGAATACGCAGTTGACATAGTTGTGCCAGGCGAAGAATCTGACATCATCCATAGTGAATACAAATGCGCCATTATGACCGATTTTCAGGCATTTCACCAAGAGTCGTCAACCGTTGATTCATTTCTACTGGCGGATCTCAGCCAGTCTACATGCTGCAGACGTGGTCGAGGTCAGTCGTGGTTTCATATTTCGGTCTGGCCACTCTGAACCCTCTTGCACCCTTATTCAACTGTCCATCAATACCTTAATACGAAGCCACAATGCAATCGATTGTTGACAAATGAGCATAGAAAGCAACTGCGTGGAAACTTGAAAAATAAAGATTTGCTGCTAGTTCGTCCAGATAAAGGCGCTGGTATTATCCTCATGGATCATTTGGATTACAACACAAAAATAGTCTCTATCTTATCAGATATGAGTAAATTTCCCAGAGTCTGCTCAAGATGATGCCACAGAACAAATTGAACGAAAGCTCACCCAAATTCTAAAGAAAATGAAGAATGAGTCTATCATCACCCCCGAACTATTCGAGCAGTTGCGACCTTCTGGTTCTGTCACTCCTCGCTTATATGGTTTCCCGAAAGTCCACAAAGAAAATCTTCCTCTTCGCCCAATTTCGGATGTGAACAGTTTACCATATCATTCTATCGTTAAGTGGCTGTCTGACGTCCTCCAGTCAGTCAGAAAACAGCTAAACTCGCATAGCTTATTGGATTCCTTCGAATTTGTAAACTCAGTTAGTAATGTCAATATATCCGGTAAGCGAATGATTTCTCTGGACGTGGTCTCGCTCTTTACTAATGTCCCACTCCCGAAAACCATCTCCTTTCTATGTGAATTCATTGAAGATAATAATGTTCAAGTGGGTATCCCAAAGCACTATTTAAAGGAATTGCCTCTAAGATGTACTTTCAATGTGCAGTTCAAATTCAACAATGATCTATACAGACAAAAGGATGGAGTTGCTATGCGGTTGCCACTTGGACGGTTGCTGGCTGACTGCTTTATGGCGAAGCTAGTGAATGGTGGGCTGCATTTATCAATTGATAGTTTCTACCTATATAAAAGATATATGGATGTCACTTTCATCATAATCGATCAAAATACAAATATTGAGGCTGTAGTTAAAACGTTCAATGATTGTCACCCATCGATCAGCTTCACATCAGAGTTTGAAGAGGACTCGGAATTCCATTTTCTCGATGTTTCATTGAAACGGAGACCAGATGGTTCTCTTCAGCGATCAATTTATAGGAAGCCTACTTGGAGTGGACAATATTTGAATTCCCACAGTTGGATGCCTCTCAGCAGAAAGAAGAATCTAATCCATTCTCTATCTTCAAGAATCAAAAGAATTTGCACCAGTGATACTATTGACGAAGAATTAGATAAACTACGGAAGATCCTCATGCAAAATGGATACCCATCCAGATTTATCGATAAGAACTTGAAAGTAAATCAGAATACGGAGCGAGTACTTACAGTTCCTAAGAAGACCTTGTTTATGAACGTTGTTTTCAAAGGCGATACGGCAGCAAAGATCCTGAAGAATCGGCTGTCCAGATCACTGAAGAAGACATTCTTCTCTGCAAAACTGCAGATCAGCTTCTCTAGTCAACAACTCATTCTGGAGTGTGTTAAGGACAAGTTACCACTTTGGGCCACCTCGATGTGTGTCTACAAATTTACTTGCTCCTGTAAAGCTAGTTATATAGGCCGCACAAAGTGCACGCTTTCCAAACGTATCTCGGAGCACTATCCTGAATGGTTGTCGAGGGGAGAATGTAAATCAATTAACAGTTCAATTCTTGAACATTTGGTCAACTCTGGACATAAAGCTAGACCAGAATCTTGCTTCAATGTCATTTATCGTGTCAGATGGAATAGTTGAAAAGGAGTACACCTTCGACAGTTGTGCACAGCGGAAGCACTGGCAATTCATCAATCCAAGCCTGATCTCTGAGTGCAAAAGAAGTATGTTCAATCTCTCATTTTACCATAGTCTTAACACTTTCATTTTTTCGATTTCATTATAGTTAATTACTTTATTATTATCACCTTCATTATGACCCTTGTCTCATTCTTCACCTTCTTTACACCTATCTTTCAAGTGGACACTCAATATTTGCGTTTCTTATCTACTAACAATTTTCACCTTGTCAAACTCCTCGCCTTCCTCGATATTTCTACTGTCATAGATTATTACGTAACTACTTTGCATTCTTGATTTGGTTTTTCGTAGCACTTGGTTAGTGATGTAATTATACCCTATTGTTTTATAATGGACTGCTATATGTTTATCACATATATAAATACGATTGTACAGCTTTAGAAAATGATATCGTCGAAAAAGAAAATTTTCCTCGCTGAATTATCTCTTTTCTATGTCTCTGTATTTATATTGCATCGAATGTAAACATCATGCATGTAATCTGGAGATGGCGTTGAACTTGTGTGTTTTTACGTGTGATAGAAGTAGTCACTCATTGAATGTAGTCATGCTAAAACATCGGTATCGATGGGTTGCACATGTGTTATACTTGTCATCCGTGTGTGCCACACCGCTCACTGTTGGATCAGTGGCTTGACTATCTTGGTGGGATACAAGAGATTGTGATACTCAGTGTCTCTAGACAATGGCAAATAGGGCTAATGAACAAACGCGTGGTCCTCATACTGCAGCCTTCTTTTTTCATCGGGGATTTAGAAGAAAGCAGTCGGTGCTTGCTAGCTAGAGCCTTTGGAACTGCTTCTTCAATAACAGATTTCTGTTTCTGGTTCCTTTATACTTTTCGCTTCATTCCTTTTAAATCACTTCTATGCCTTTTTTAAATATATTGCTTTGTGTTATGCATCTCTTTGGGCTCTTTTTATACCAAATTTGTATAAGTCAGAAATAAAATTGGTAACCCCCGTAATCGACGGTATTTTGTATCGGTTCGTATGAATGTAGAAAACGTTGTTTGGAGATTGATTCTGCATCTTACATTGGTATGCTATTCGAAAAGCAAGATATTAAATATTTCATTCTTAATAATTAACATAACTTACACGATAGGTATGCAACGAAAATTTGGCTGTAAAAGAGATACACTAACTGGTTTTTAGTATTAATAATCCTTACAAGTTCTGCCGTTTGCCAGTCCAACGGTTTATCCAAAAACCTGTGTAGACTGTCCTTTTGTGAAAGAAGTACGCAGATTTTCAGTTTGAAACAATTAGTCCCTTCGATGAATTCGCATAATATAATAAGAAGATGATAAATTCAATTCTGCAACTGTACCGTGTTTGTTTGCTCAAAGATTATTAATATAGAAATACACTTTATATTCTTTTATATTTATTCTTAGAAATCCCATAAAAGTAATGCGTAGTCTGTATCAGTTATCTACGGTGTACGTTAAGTTGATGTTCAACAATCAGTAGTTACGCACATAATTTATGTGCATTCGGTACCTCGCTATGCACCTTTGCCTATAAGTTATTCTCTATGCAGTGGAATTTCACCCTACCTTGCAGTTTATATCTCAAAATAAATACATGACGTTTTCTGATAATTTCCTCTTCATTATTCAAGGAAACTTTGTTATTTTGTTTGTACAGGTATCTCTGGACTAGGAAAGGCAGATAACTTCTTCAGCAATTCACTAAATGTACCCACTGTTTCAGTACCAGAGCCCTACAGCTGTGCTCCAGAACAACCCTCTAAACCTGATTTACCTTCTGTCAGTGGAAGGATTTCACCAAACAAATGGTTCGATATAGAAAAGGAAATCAAATATGCTTTAAGTGCTTCTAATTATCAGGATGAAGTAACTACGGAGAAACATCTTATACGAGCTTTAACATTACTTCGAGGTAAAACTGAAAAATATTAATAACTTAGAGCCTTTGTTTGCACAATTTATAATGATTTTTTAGTATCCGTATGACTTTTGCATGAGCCTGAACACTGTCACTTTTTAATGTGATGTAGAGATTTTGTGGAGTAGTTAATTTCTGAAAACTTGTGGTTATGCTTTTACTCCATCCCAGTCAGTTGAAAAAGAAACTTATTTCTTTATCTTAAAATGATTAAGTGAAACTTTTCCTCAACACACTGTACCTCATATGTGAAGTTCTGCCTATTTTTCAGTGTTCATCGGATTTTATCAGTCACCTAATAGCGTCCAGTAAGTAAACTTTATAAAACAATGCAATATTCTATAGTCTAGTTAGCATGAAGACTGAGGTTTATGAGGCAATACGGAATATTTGTCGCACAACCGAATGCTTCCCATGGTATGGTGTTTTCTGATGTGGGCTACTTGATTGTGAAGGCTTGACTGTCCTTCTAGACGACATCATGAACAAAAAACTCAAAAGGAAGCGAGTTATGCTATTTACCTAATTAAAAGTACCACTTAGCTTGTCCTGTTGATCTTGGATGTGACTAGTTGTTTCTGTCATAACTTTTTCATTGTCGCCACACTTGGTTCGATTGACTGACCTGACCTTCTCGTTGTTTCTCATTGGTTGGTAGACTTGGTCAACATCAATATCTTTATATGTTGCTGACTGGCCTGAGTGTCAGGTTTCTGGGAATTGCCTGGCATTCTTCAAATCTCTTCTAGTTAACCATATTATTCCAGTCATATTGCTGTTCATAATTGTCTGAATGTATTGATGTGAGCGAAGTTATATCACGACACTTCACTGTTAGTCGTTGCTTATGTAGAGTAAAACGAGGAAGATAGTCAATCTGTTTGATATGGGTTTTTCTGCAGTTCATTTTGTAAATAACATTAGGCTTGTTTTGCATAGCGATTATGTTCCCCCACCTGCATAAAATGAAGTGAAGACATTTCTTAGGTTTGTGGGCTGGACTGCTCTAAACGTTTTGTTATTTCCTGAGTGTTTTATGATGAAGTCACTTGTTTATCTGTGCTCTTTGAATGTCTATACGCGAGCTGGCTCATGCAATGAAAGGTCCGATGGGTTATATTAACAGCAAAGGTCTTGGCAAATGATCGAATTGAAGAGGTGAACTTACTTAAGGACTCCAAATGAAACTTATCTGCGATAACGCTACACCAAGTCTTTTTAGTACTTTGTGTAATGTGACCTGATCAAATGTAAATTGACATGCTCCTCGAGGAAAGCTGTGTACTTTAACATCAAATATGCTGGAAGTCTATGTATAGTTAATCGACTTTTGAACAGTGACTCTTTCATTGTTTATTTCGATGCACCCTAACAATTATTTTCAATGAAATAAATCTATGCTACTGTGGAATGTGACACTGGAAGAGCCAGAAACATGAATTTAGATGCTTGACGCCTAACTCGAAAATTGAGTTCTTTGTAATCAATAAAGCCATAAGGATATAAATTAGTATGGATGAGTCAGTTACTTTATGAAATAACAAAGTATGCATATGGACCAGCTATACTAACTATCTGATACGCAACTACATATTATTGGGCAGGTATGGAAGATAGAAACAATGGAAATAATCTGAATTATATATTTACCAATTGATAATATCTTCATAATTTGAAGATAATTTTGATGTTATTCTAAACCTTAGTAACTTATTTGATGTAGTATTTGGGATAGTCAGAGAATCCATTTTTTGATTCCCGGGAATGACACTTTAGTTGGCAAGTTTGAGAAAAATGTTTTAATTAAAATCCATAGATAGATGTTCTTTCGAAAGAAATCCATTAAATAGTTTTCTGACTAAAGTTGATAAAATACAGTGCAACTCCACTGTTCTGAACAATGTTTTTGCGCAACTAATATTGTGTCTCATTGAACCGATGCTACTACATTTGAGAGTTCGATCAGTATTGCACAGTTGAGTTTCCAGTTTCCCCCGATGGGTTCTGATAATCACAACACCTAAAACTGCGAAGTTGTTGTTTGATTCCTTTTCAACTATGAGTTTGTTACCATCAAAAACTTCGGTGATTAGTTTGTAAGCGTTTTGTATTTCCTTTTTCTTATTGATGAAAAACGTGTCATCTTTACATTGAAACGAAAATATGCATTTAACCAAGAGCAAGACGATAGTTTCAGATTATTACGTAAAATCAGTCCGGTGTAGATGATCCCAATTGGTTTGGCCTTTGTTTGTTCGAGCAGCTTGCTACTGAACTGCATATCGTAAGATGAAAATCAGCTAATTTTTATCGAAACTGGAAATTGTAGTTGTTTATGCTTCAAGAGATGTGGATCACTGACGAGGAGAATCATTGTATCCTTAGCTGTTTTCAGTTCAATGAAAATGTGTTGCGCCGTAACTTTGAACCCCTTTGATATTTCGTCCTCAAAATATTATAAATCTTATCAGAAAACTGTGTTGGTAGACTGATCGTATGGTTCCACGAGATTCTTCACTTTTCTAAATGATTCTTCCATAGATTGTGTGCTGAAGTAACCCGAGGTGAAAAAACTCATCGCATAGAGATTTTTAGCCTTTTCCTTTCATATCTACTGTAGAAAAGTGGAACTTTTGAGTAGGGTTTTCTCTGTTGATTGACATACATTTCAATTCATGATCAAGTCCTTCACCTTGATGTAGTCACATTTATCCATTACTACTATGGTACACACTTAGTCAGTTCGAAGTATATCAATGTTTTTTAATTACTCAACTTCTTAAGAGCTCGGTATTCCTTATTACTACTTAAGCATAGTTTTTATTCTGTCTGGATACAGGCGTGATTATTTCTTGGATTTCCTGTTGAGTCTCACTGTTTAGACCTGGCGCCTTTAATGATGAGTCCAGTATCACAAGGAAAACCCGGTCTTGAAGTATCCCTTATAATACAATTGAGTCCCTTCTGAAGGAGTTCCTTGGTTTCAGTCATAGGTTAATAAGACATGTTAAAGAACTGACAGTGTACCCAAATACGAGAGACATTCCACTTAACGTGCCAGAGTTACGCTTCTGTGAGCCATTCAGACTAGCAAAAATATGTTGACTACACTGTTCACGGAGATCCACACAACAGTATCTTCGTAGCTTTTTCGGTATAAATTTCAAAAGAAAAATGAACAAAATAGGTTATTAAAGTGCCATTGCACTGTATGCACAAGCATAAATACAGCAAAAGTAGTCTGAAAAATAAAGTACCACTGATTAAGTGTCTTGAGATCGAATATCTTGTTAGTGACCTGTATAGCATCCTCACTTAGTCATTGTTTATTGACATTATTCTATCAAATTACCACAAAAAGACAGAAGAGGCTCTTGTTATGTGTTCAAAATATGATGTTTGCACGTAGGTGACAAGCACGGCCTCAGAAATTATGCCTAGAGTTCGATAGCACTGAGTTAGGTTATCTGAAAGAACAAGGTGATCATTTAAAAGACCGTGATAATCTTGTACCAACTTAAGAGAATGAATCACTGGAGATATGAGTAATAAGTATCATATCAGTGTACACACTGTAAACCTACATTTCGTGGATTCTATGTTGAAGTGATGTAAACTGTTGAGCATAATCTGAAATTGGAACAAAATTCCTCTGTAATGCTTTCTGGTTTCCATTGGATCTATATCCTACCTCATTCACTATCTTTGTCCACTTGTTTGAAGACTAACTGACTACTGTGTCAGGTAGTCTTTTCTTTTTCTACTGACAGAATGGGTGACTACACAAACCAGTTTGAAACTTCCGATTTCTGGGAATCCAATGACTAGTTCTTGTGGGTGTAGTTATGACATCGATTGCTGAGGCGGAAAATACACTGCTCGACTGGAGACATTGAAAACCGCCTATTCGGTGTTAGATTGAATGGTGAAGTAAGGACTTAATAGAGCGGTGAAACTTGACACTACCCCATCGCAATCTCTGCTCATTTATCCACCGGCCACAGTTCGACTGACATGAAGTATGCGTTATGGAGAAAAGTGTCTAGACTTTCACTGGAAGTTAGGCATTCAAATGTGGTTGTCGGAGCAGATGGTTCAAATACTCCAGAAATTAGGGTCAGCCAGGCAGAAAAGAGCTTGGGTAGCACTTTTGGAATCCCAAACGAACGGTCGGATAACGGCTATCGCCTGCTACAACTACTCACGCAGCCATCGAAATAGCTACCACTGGATAGGGTTGATGAAAGATCGTCCCGCTTTTTGCGAACGTGTTTGGATAGTAGTCACATGTTCGTTCAAGCACGCGTTTGTTTGTGCTTGAATGGACTTCTAAAAGCCTCAGCAAAAAGACGTTTTTGACTACAGCGAACACTAAAGAAGCTTTCAACAAAGTGGAATTGATTAGACGGTTGTCACTACAGAACAGCGACTCTCATCCTGAAGAAGTCAGACACCATCTCCATTTTGCTGTAAAGACAATCCCAAGGATCATGTCTGACTCTTAGAAAAATGTTAAAAAGAGCCAGTGCATCTCAACAGCTTTTGAGTTGAGAGGTGGGCTTGAACGCATTCCATCAGGCTGCAAGTACAATGAGGAGTGGAGTCAACTCAAACGTAGATTCATAAGAATTCTGTGCGAGGTCATCAAGCAGTGGTGGGTAATGAACGCTGAAGAAATGCAAAAGCTAGGGACGATGAGCAACAGAAGACAGTTATTCAGACTGATTACGAAAGCTGGGTCAAAAACATTAGTGGTTAGCGGAAAAGAAAGGGTCTGCTATTCACTCTCAGAGAAGACAACTGAAGTGATGAGTGTTACACTTCGAGGACCAGTTTAGTTGGCCTCCAGCTAGCCTTCTACTGGCCGTTATTCAATGGGATACTGAAAGGAACATGGAGATAAGTGCCCCAGCTCCCGTAGGACTTGAGATGGCTGTACTTGACCTGAAAATTTGAAAAGCAGATAGGCCAATATCAGTTGGCGTAGGACACCAAGTGAAGCCGTCTTAAGGTG